AGTAGGGATGGCGAGTCTCTACCCGAAATTTAGTCGTTGATGTTGGCAACACTACATTTCAATTTCGATTCTCAATTCCAACGCTATTTTCGTTAGTCGTTGATGTTGGCGACACTACATTTCAATTTCGATTCTCAATAACCTCTAAAAAAAGGGGGAAGAAAATTTATGTCCGTGCTATATTTAAAGCAGGGTGATAAAATAGTCGATCTAATAACATTAACACAAAAAAAATGTCCGTACCATATTTAAAGCACGGTGATGAAAGAGTAGATCTACTATGAACTCTTGGAAGGGAAAGGGTAATCAGCTTGTTTGGTTCATCGAAGAATCGAACCTCCGGACCTATACCTAAGCCAAGCTCGAATGTGTGCCACTAGGCCAAAGATTAAGGGGGGCACAATGAGCCTCTTGACTCTTTAGGTTAAATATTTACTACTACCGAGGCTAGGGGCCCCCTCCCCCACTTGACTCACCTAAAACAAAAAATCCTAATGATAAGATCCATGTGAAGGAATTCCCAAGATGTACATTATGTGCATTTCAAGAAGATGTAAAGTTGCCCTTATGTGGGTTATGTTAGGGTACTCATGTACATGAGTGTTTTTTAATATATTCAGCATTTTTGGGCATTTATTGCCCCTTGTTTTGTCAAACAAAATTATTTGAGTAAAAGGTATTTTTGTCCTTAGTTCATTTTACTGTGGTTAAGAAGCAATCATTGCTACATGTAGATGATTTCACACATCATGTGGATAATGTCATCTTCTACTATAGTCAATAAATGATTAACTTTTTATCAATAATTTCTACTTTACTCTTGATTAATTATCTAAAATACCCCTAGACAAAAAAGTTAGTACATGGTAGGATAAAAGTCTCACGTGTCCAACAATGTTGAGTACTTTAAAGAAATGCTCATATGTATGAGTAGTCTAATATAAGATGAGTTATACTTGTGTATCTTGTTAACCAGTAACATCTATTCCATGTGTATTGAGATATAGCAAACAACACATGTTACGAGGTATGAGTTAGTTCAAGTGGAAGGCTAAAAAAGGCATGAGTAAGCTCAAAAGGACATGGTTGGAAGTAAGGAAAAAAAATATAGGAAATTATGGCCTCATTAAGGGTATGACCCTTAATAGAGCAGAACAACGAACCGGGATTCATGTAGCTGACCCCAATTAGTTAGAAAAAGGCTTCGATTATGATAATGATGATGAAACTAGATAAAAACCCTATCATGAGAGATTGTAGAATAAAATAATGGTAGTCTCTCAATATTAGAAATTATAGTGGCCTAACTATTTCTAAAAACAGGATGCTATAGGTATAGGCAAAAAAGTAACCTAAAACAACTTTTTGGGTTCGAGAGGTTTTAGGGAAGAGAAAGATCTCTAGGTCTTATCTACCTAAAAAAAAAAAACTAAGTTTCCAAGTCAATCTTAGGTTTTATGTAAGAGTAACATAAAGTTTTGCAATGTTATGGAAAACCTTTTTCTAAAACTTTGGGCAGAAAGATCATAGTGCTTGATCTAGCTTATTTTTTGGTTCTTAAAGTATATAAATTTATGCTTTGCATATAAAATTAGGAAAATTACAAAACCTCCCCTCAAGTAAACTATCAATGCAACTTACCCGCCAGCTAACCTTTCCTCTCACTTTTTTCCCCACAATCACCTTTCCTTGCAAAAAGCCCCCCAAGGTAAAAAGTTGTTATTTTTTGGATGGAAATATCCTTTCCTACAAAAACAAAAGTCAATTGACGTTCCCAAGTAGCGTATTGCCGGAGTGATCAATTCAACCGCCAGAGCGATGTGGCTCTAGAAGGTGTACTGCCTGAGCGCGTATTTGTACTGCCGGAGCACTTGTCTTTATTGCTGGAGCGACCTATTCAACCGCCGGAGCGATGTGGCACCAGAAGGTGTACTGCCGGAGCGTGTGTCCTCATTGCTGGAGCGACTTATTCAACTGCCGGAGCGCTATGGCTCCAGAAGGTGTACTGCCGGAGCGAGTCCTTACATTGCCGGAGCGCGTGTCTTCATTGCCGGAGCATTTAAAAGGACTGCCTGAGCGCATGGCAAGAGAGTCGTGGGTAAAAGCCATGAGGAGAGAGAGGGGGTAGTTCAGTCTTTTTTTTCTTTTGTTTTGGATTGGGGGGGTTTTTGCGAGGAAAGATGGGTGTGGGGAAAAAAGTGAGAGGAAAGGTTAGCTGTGGGGTAAGTTGCATAAAAAGTATACTTGAGGGGGGTTTTTGTAATTTTTCCTATAAAATTTTAGGTGGGATTATGATTGTCCTCCATCTAGCCTGTTCTAAATATAGGAAATTTATATCTTCATTATGAAGATTAATACACTGAGCGCACATGCAAATATCTTTGACAGCGAAATTTGATACAGAGGTGGATAGGATGAGTGGGGACTATACAGTTGTTTAGAGATTTAATATTGGATCTGATTTGGTGTGGGCCCTTTTGGAAGATTCTTTATGGCAAATGCCGGCTCTGATACTATAAGTTAAAAGCCCAACATCCCAAGATTTGTGGGATTGTGCAACATCCCAATATTTGTGGGATTGTATACATAAGCAGTTACAAAAGATAGAAACTACAACTACTACACACGGTTTAGTCAAACTATGTGTATTTGGATAGGAACGAATCTTCCAATCTGCAATTGTTATTCTCAATGTCTTTCGCCAGTCTCGATTTCATATCAAAGACTTAGGTCCACTCAAATATTTTCTTGGCAGTGAAGTAGCCAAGTCCAGTAATGGCCTTTTCCTATGCCAGCATAGGTATACATTAGAGATATTTCAAGACATGGGCATGCTTAGAGCAAGACATTCAAAGTTTCCCATGGAGCAAAACCTAAATCTAAATTCTACTAATGACGAGCTTTTTGAAGAACCTTCTTCTTATATGAGGCTCCTTGGCAGATTGACGTATTTGACTAGTAGCTTCCCAAACATTGTTTTCAGTATCTACATCCTTAGTCAATTTATGCAAAGCCCGCGAAAACCTCATCTTGATGCATCCTTACGATTACTTTGGTATCTCAAGTTTACCTCAAGACATAACATTCTCTTATCCTCCTTCAGTAAACTTGAGGTGACTGGATATCGTGATTCTGATTCGGCTAGCTACCCGATGACTCGACAATCTACTAGTGGTTATTGTACTCTACTCAGTGATAGCCCAACTTGGCAAACCAAGAAACAAAACACAGTTTCTCGGTCTTCTGCTGAAGCAGAATACTGCTCTATCGCACTTCTATGCAGTGAGTTAACTTCCCTAAAATATCTGCTCACTGATCTTGGTATTCCCCACTCACAGCCCATTACGATGTTTTGTGATAACAAATATGCTCTACACATTGCCACCAATCTAGTTTTCCATAAAAGAACAAAGCATATAGATCTGGATTGTCACCTTGTTCGTGAAAAGATCACCTTTGTACTAGTTTAGACGGCATATCTTCACACTTCCAATTAATTGGCAAATAGTTTTACAAAAGCCCTTAGGCGCGAACGGTTCAATTATCTTACTGACAAGTTGGGCATCATCTCCATTCATGCTCCAACTTGAAGGGGAGTATTGGAATATTAGTTCCTATCCAAACACACATGGTTTGACTAAATTATGTGTAGTAGTTGTAGTTTCTATCTTTGGTGACTTCTTATCTCAATAATCCCACAAATATAGGGATGTTGCACAATCCCACAAATCTTGAGATGTTGTTTTTGTAACTTATATAAATCACCATGTAAAGCAATAGAATGCAATTCAATTTTCTCATTCAAACTTTTATTTACAGGCCATAGTCAACCAACTTTGGTTTGAGCCCTACAACCTGCACTACAATCTAGACTGCCCCTATTGATAGGATGGTACAAATTTTTGTCCCCTATCATGAAAATCCAGATGTGGCAGTTTTGGTTCCATCTAAACCATCGACTATAACTCGATAGTGCAGCTCTCGGGGCCCGCACAAAAAAGACAAACCAAACACTTTTCCGTTGATAATTTCCTAGTACATAACTAATACTATTGTACGTTTGGGTTTAAGCTACCAAAACTCAGGTGACAGTTCTTAACCATCTGTTGTTATTCGTCACCATTGGCTTATTGAGAAGCTGGTAACATACTGTTTTAAACCCAAATGCCATACAGACCCTCTTTACGATGGGTCCAATCGTTTCTTAGTTGGTTGCAGCAAAGCTACATCTTTTGAATCCCCGACTTGGCTTACAACAGAGAGCTAAATTTCAACCGTATCTCAAATTTGGGTGGATTTTGTCGGTGAAGGTGAAGGAAACTGAAAAGTAAAATCAGCAAGGATTCCAATAAACATTCGAAAATTTAGAAATAGAGGATCACTGAATGTTGTGAATTCGACCTGATTGCAATTCTTTTTTACTTTTGGGTAGGCCAGCTTGTGGTTTCTTCTTAGGGATAGAATCGACCCTTGAGCTCCTCCTCAGAAACCAAGGGGGTGTCTAACACTCAGCTTAATGCCTAAGGGATAAGGGACATTCCAAATAATAATGTAGGTACTTCAATTATTCCTATAAATTGGGACCTTTGTAATACTTAGAATATTCCTGATTCGGATCTTTGTTAAGATTGAAAAACAGAGGAATTTTACAAAAAAAATTATGAAAGAAAACACCAATGCTAGTTTGTTAATCTTGATGTGTGTGTCTAAGTAAAAGTGGCGGAGTCACTGATCTGTCTCAATTTAGTGATCCATCGAAACTGACCCAGTCTCAATAATGCGATACAATTTGGTCGTCAGCTCTGGGGCACTTGTTTATGTACATACTGAGCAAAAAATATACTAAAGAAAGATAATCTAGAAATGAATTTTGATTTATCCCTATGTAGTGTGCTGGATATGTCACTTATCAGCTCATAAGTTTAGAGAACGTAAAGAACACAGAATCACAAAGAAAGTGGAATATTATGGTAGCTTATGGTTTGTTGTCTTTGATGCAGTTTTCCATGTCACTAATCAAATGGGACAGAAATTGACTGACACCAAAACCATGGAATATATTGAGAAGGTAAAAAAACTGATTACTCACATCACCACCAGCGTCAGTTTTTTGAAACAAATGTCTTCTAGCAAAGAAATTATGTTATTGTCACTTTTCACATGACACAATTCAAAAAATTTATCGACTTTTCCATTTAACAGATCATTTCACATACAAATATTCATGTTTAGTCTCAATTTTTTACTAGATGCATTTGCCTCTTGTTCCTTGTTTTGTATTAAACTTTCTCTTTCCAAAAGAGAAAATTAACTTCGGTGCTTGTCCATGTTTTAAAATTTTCTTTTACTTGGGTTCTTCTATAGCTAATACTTCCATATCCAAAAGTTTGCATTAGAGCCTAGTAAGACCTAGTTTTCAACATAAATGCTCTTGCAAACCTGGTTTAGAACATTTTTCCTAAATTTCTGGGCTACACTACTTCCTATTTTTGATGTGGTCAAACAAATATTTCTCCTATGAAGTAGAGATTCTTTGTGGCTGTGAAACACCTGGTATTGTAAATGGGCACTCATGTACAATACCAAGTGTGTTATGCAATCGATCGGAAAATTAGTGATGTCATCTATAGAGACTATTAATTTTATAGCAAGTTAACAGCAATAACTTAAATTTACTATATTATGTATCGAGCATGCACTTAGATTATATCTGTTATCAAACTACCTTCGAGGAATCGTCTCATCATCAAGCTATTCCATTACGTTGAGATTACTTTGTCCATGTAAATGCATCTTTTTCTTTCTTTCTTTTTTTCTCTCTTATTTAGTATTTGTTTTGCATTTTCTTAAGATGATAATGATTCTGTAGCCAGTCATCGTGAATAAGACGATGGGTTCTAGAATAAGCGGTCCTGAAATGAAAGGTTGTTTAAGAGAAACTCATGAATGGGAGGGGGACATTTTCAAAGGGCTATCAATCGGGTTTGGTCGACGCGACGGGCCTGTAAATTGGTTTAGTTCAACCTAGCAACCCTGGCTATGAGTTTGAACCTGCCAATCAAACCCAGCAGGTCGGGTCAGGTCTAAGTCTAGGGGGGCTGCACTCTATTAGGCTTGGTCTAGCCTTAGATCTCCCAAGTCGAGTTCTAGTCAAAGACTGGTCAACTTGACCTGGACCCAACCCAAGAGGTCGAAGGCTGCACCTAGGTTGAACGGCCAGTCCTAGAGGAATCGTGGCTGGGTCTAGGTGGGCTCGAGGTTCACCCTAGACCCAAAGAGTCGAGGTAGACCCCACCTGGACCACAAGTTTATTACTCTAGGTTGTCTGAACCTTGAGGTTCCGGGCTCCAAACCAGATTAGGTATTCTGTAAGTCAAAATGAGGAAAATTCTTAATCACTCATAAAGCATTATATTAGTAATGTAAATGAGGCCAACGCTTTCTTATGCTTCTCATGCTGCTCGCAATATTTAACGATTGTTGTCTCCATACTTCATTTCCATATCTCCTTCAATTTATCATTTGAATAACACTTATTGCTTCTTAGTATCCTTGTTTTACAAGATAGCAAACAATTTAAGTAATCTCCTATTGCTTGTATGCTTCATGTGTACGAATCCTATTGTTAAATGCCTTATTACGAATCCTATTGTTAAATGCCTTACTTTCTTTCTTAAAACTCTTTCTTGCCTTAGTTCCTAAAGAAGTCAGCTGATTTTCTTTCTTTCTCCGTTTGCCCATCATTATCTTTATCGTCGTCATTGTCGTCATCAACATCATTCACCTCCGACGACGAAACAGGGAAATTTACTTGAGCTCTTACAAAATTTATTTTCATTTTGTTCAATTGATAATTCTCTCCCTATATATCACAGGCCTTGGGTGCAAGGGGCACAACATGTGCCACTGAGGTTCGGACATGGCCAGGTAAGCAAGCAGGTGTCGCAGAGTCCATTGACGGGGGCCCCACCGCCATCGAGTTGGTGGGGAGCGACCGCCCAGGCCTCCTCTCTGAGATCTCAGCCATTCTCGCAAGTCTTGACTGCAATGTGGTGGCTGCAGAGGTGTGGACCCACCGCACTCGCATTGCTTGTGTTGTGTACGTGACAGACAGTACTACCTCTCGCCCATTAGATGACCCAGCACGCCTCGCAGCAGTTGAAGAGCAACTTCGTAATGTGTTAAAGGGGCGTGATGGAGACAGGCGAAGTGCACGCACCAACTTCTCGTTGGGGTTCATGCATACCGATAGGCGACTGCACCAGATGATGTTTGCGGACCGTGATTATGAGGAGGAAGGGGAGGAGGAAGAGGCTCCTTTGGTGAGTGTGGACACATGCGGAGAGAGGGGGTACTCTGTGGTGAATGTGCGGTGCAAGGACCGGCCAAAGCTCCTATTTGACACCGTGTGCACGCTTACAGACATGCATTATGTTGTTTTCCATGCCTCCATTGTCTCACAGGGGCCACATGCCCTACAGGTACTCTCTTTGTCTCTCTCACTTTGTGGGCATGTCTGTCTATGTTACAGTAACATTGCTTATGGGCTATTCCCTTATCCTACTAGTACACTGCTTATGGAGTATTCCTTTATCCTACCTAGTACTTAATGTCATTATCTCTCTCTGAAAGTAAACTTTCACGAGAGGAATTTTCAATTAATTGATTGGGGAAGTTAATATTGTTAGGAATCTACAAGTAAATTTGTTAACAATGATATAGAAATAATCCATATCACACATCTAGTAGTTCCAACTAAAAATGGCTTTAATCTTTTGCCAACAGTATTTTATCAATCTATTTCTATTTAATGCAGCAACCATAATACAAGTTCAAGTAAATAATTCTGGGGCTCCATACTGAAATACTGTTCCATAGTCAAACATTTTGCATTAATGAGCTAAAAGTATACGTGAAAGTGCTCAACTTTGGGAGTACAGATATGGAGTATTAAGTGATGAGCATGTATACCATACTATCCATTTACTCCCTCGAGTGAAATGCTATTTAGGAAAAAAAAATTAATCTAAAATATTGGGATTCATTTAAGTGAATTTTCGAGTTCAACACTTTAATCTCATGTAAGAAAAGGGGATGCTCTCAAGTTTAGGATGTTATTATTTTCAGGCACTGAAAAAGCAAAATTTAAAATTCTTTTACCTTTTTTTTTTTAAGTTGTCGTTGAGGAGCGTGCACCTCCAAAATTTAGAGTCCTATAATACTTGGACTTACCTGAGGGAGTAAATGAACATTTTGCTCCTTCCATAGTTTGAAATGTTTTTAAACTTAGTGATAATATGGTTTTACAGGTTTCTATACTTCCCCTACTGTATATAAAATATACACTTCCCCTTTCAACTAGCCGTCTAATTTAGATCAAGTGAGTCATTGACCGTTTGATCTAAGATCTAACACCTCATAGCATTTTATTTTTATTTTTTTTACAAATTATATGAATATAAAATTTGGTATGTGCCAACATTTCAATGGGATGAACCTAAAAAGAAAATTCCAAATAATATTTTTAATAAAATATAATGATTAAAATACCCCTGAGTGTTTTAGGGGTATTTTGGTTATTTTATTTTATTGGGATATTGTTTTTATATTTTTTACAGGTGCAAGTTTAAGAGAGGAGTCGACGTCCAAAATTTGGTGTCAAAATGTGTTGTAGAAAAAAATAAAAATAAAATAGTGTAGAGGCGTGACATTGTGATTAGGGCCATCTGAGCCATCCATTTAACATGGACAGTTGGACAAATATATAAGTTTTATACTATAGGAGAAGTAAGGAAAGTTTGCCCTTTACTAGTACCTCACTATGCTATTATGTAAGGGCAAGTTTTCTATACTTCTTTTACTGGATAAAACTCATATACTTTCCCCTATCCAACCATCCATTCTAAATGGATTGGTGAGATGGCCCCAATCACAATGTCACACCTTACACTATTTTATTTTTTAAGTCTTCTACAAAATATTTCACTACAAAATGCTGGGTGTCCACTCCTATTAAACTTGCACATGTAAAAATATAAAACAAGTCTTCCCAATAAAATAAAATGATCAAAATACCGCTTAAAGTTTTAAGGGCATTTTAATCATTATATTTTTTCAAAAATATTTTTTACTATTCTTTTTAGGTGCGCTCCATTGAGATGATGTCACGTACCAAATTTCATATTCATATAATTTGTAGAAAAAATTAAAAATAAAATACTCTAAGGTATCGGATTAGATCAAAGGATCAGCCTATTTGATCTAAATTGAACCGTTGCATAAGAGGAGAAGTATATACCTTCTATATGGGAAGTATAGAAACCTTTCCGATTATGTAAAAAGAAAAAATTTATATTAGGTGTCAACCTTATACTGTATGAGTAAGGTATACATAAAACACCCACTAGAGAAGGCTGTTTTCATGATGGAAAATTCTCAAATCGATCATCTCGACCTCAAGATTAATAGACATGAGAAAAATGGATTTGTACTCCTAAAAATAGTTAATCTTTCAACATATTATCTGAACCATCTATTTTTAAGTATTTATAGATCTGCTTGATCATCATCATTTTTGGAACTTTAAATTTCATAATTGGAGGAAACAATAGACTTTCATATCAAAGCTCGCTCTATGGCACCGAAACTGCATTTTCAGCGAAGTTTTAAGGTGCACCTTACTTCAATAGTATAAGGTTAGTCACCCTATACAAACCTCACCCTGTATAAAAGGCGATCGGTGGAGGGATAATGCGTGGAGGCTTGGTTTGGTCTCGCAGGAGTACTACATACGCCACAAGGATGGATGCATTCTTGATGGTGATAGTGAAAAGCAAAGGGTTATTAAGTGTCTCGAAGCTGCCATTCAACGAAGAGTTTCAAATGTAAGTCTCTCTCTCTAGATTTCAACAATCAAACCAATGATAATAAAAAGGTCAGTAAACATTTTTTTTTTTTGCACAATAGGGAACATTTGAATTTAGTAATAAATAAGTCAACACATTATTTAGCCGACCTCAAATAGTTAGAGAACATTATTTAGCCGACCTCAAATAGTTAGAGAACAACATCAGATGATGATGAAGCTAACCATAAATTATAAAACCAAAGGAAATGACATCTTAGATTCCATTCCATTTCACCACCAGTAGAAACTAAGGACATTTTTAACTGTTCAAATCAATCACCAGGGACTCACACTGGAGATGTGCGCCTCCGATAGAGTGGGCTTACTGTCGGATGTCACCCGTGTGTTTCGAGAGAACGGGTTGTCTGTGACGAGGGCCGGTGTGACGACGATCGGAGGCAAGGCAATGAACGTGTTTTACGTGAGGTATGCTTCCACTGGTGAGCCAGTGGACACCAAGACCATTGAGGCCTTGCGCCGAGAGATCGGCAACGCCATGCTCCTCAATGTGAAAAATCTTCCTGCATCTGCAAAGCCATCGGATTCCAATGCAGATGCGAAATTTCGATTCTCGTTCGGAAGCTTCTTTGAACGGTTCTTGGCATGATAAATATGGCAAAATTGAATGATGATAATATTGTATATATGTATAAAACCCACTATGACTTGTGTGTTTCAGACACCATTATCTCTTTACATGGGTGAGAAAAAAGATGATTGAACATGTAATTCATTAGGCTTTTGAAAAAAAATTGAAATTAAAAAAAAAAAACCATCTCACTTTTAGGCGGCACTTATCTGATTTTGCATCAAAAACCGACTTTTCAAACGTGAGAACTTTCTCTAGAAAGTAACGTGTTTTTTTAAAATAGATCAAAACAACAACTAGTGCCTGTCACATTCGCAATGAGATTTGCAGATGCTTTATAAAGGCATAAAGCCCCATTAAGTGTCTAAATTACCTTTTTTTATTGCCAGGAAGCGCTTTAAAAAGTTTCTTAGCAGTGTTAACAGACTCACGCCTCGCATATTTGCCCTATGAGTGAGGCCAAGTTGCCCCATGTTGTATGTACAACTCGGGTTACATAAAAAAATTGTACAACATTATAAGAATGCGTATAAATTGTTGGGTGAGTGTGGTGCTTGTAAAATTAAAAGATATAGTGGAGTATGAATTCTATAGGAGTGTGGTCCCTCGTGGACCATACTAAACAAACGACGTTTGCTGATATCGGATTGAACTTGATGAGTTAGGCCAGTCAGTTGAAAAAAACCTATGTTACATAGATATAGAAAACTATCTGATAAAGATTCTAATAGGTCATTCCTTGATGAGGTGGGAGTATGTCTAGATAAGTGAGCTAAGGGACTGTGTGACCCTTATGTGTGATGGTGGTCTTTAGGGATGGGGGCCAAAGCCTCATCCGTGAATCATCACATGACATGCATATATGATAGTCATTTCAAGAAGCGAACTACCTTTCAGGGTGAAGCTTATGCATGTGCGAGAGATACCTCTATGCGCCATATGAGCTATGGTCGCATCAAGTCTAGATGACCTTGGTACGTCTTTAGGGGAGAACCTGAAATCCACAAACTGGGATTACGACCCCTTGGCTCATTGGCCAGACTTTGGTGACCCACTAATGTGCCTCTGCATGAACTATAGGTTAGGAGAAACACTGAGTTGGTTTGATAAAATAAGTGTGGACCGTAGTCCACAGTTGAAGGTAGAGTGTCTCAACGTTTATTTATTTAATTCCTTGATCATATGGATCATTTTCCCATCTAATGAATTTAATTATGTTTGTTTTAATGATATATGAACTTTAAAAATATTATTTGAATTTTTCTAGAGCTTTAAATATTTTATTTATCAAATTTGGATTTATAATAACTGAGATGCTGATTTTAGATAGATTTAAATATTCAAATTTGATTTTATGGATTTCTAAAAATCATATAAACAATTTTAATATTATATGGGAGGCCCAATATATTAATGGGCCCACCATTACATGTGGGTAGGGCCCATGAAGTATCACCTAGGGTGGCACACCCCACCCTAATGAAACTTTCCTTACGTTAGTTCAAGCTTTGGCTTGAAGAGAAAGCTTTGAAGTGTTTTCGAAAGATTTTGCCTTGAGGAAGCTTTGAAAGTATTTTTGGAATGCATGAGAAGTCTTATGCATAATTTTGGTACCACTATATTATGAATGGAATTATTTTATTGAATTTCTATTGATGGAAAATGGTTAAGGAACTGGGGATAAATGTTCTAACACCTTCTATAATGTTGATGGCCCATCTATGGATTGGAGGGTTCAAATCTCTCACCCCACAAGCTACCCAAGATCAATGGTTCATATTCAATCTCACATGAAGAGACAAGGAAAACCCTAAAAAACCATAATTTTGTTCAATGCTTATAAAAAAGAGTTGTCTCTACCCAAAATCTCTGTACTTTATCTTTCTATCTCTCGCTCTTAAAAAAAGTTTATCTCTCTCATGAATCTCAAAGGAAACTTGCCCCATCCTCTCATCTTTGAGACTCTCTCTCCCACATTCTCATCTTTGAGATCTCTCTCTCCCACATTATAGGCTATCGAGAGTTATCATATCTCTCATAGTGGTTCTCTCAACCATCTCATGATCTCTCATCTCTCATTGGAGTTTTAGAATATAAGGTTATGGTAAAAAGATAAGTATTTATTTCACACTAGGTTGCTAAGGGTATTCACCTCAGGGTTTGAGATTTGTGACAAAGGGGTTCATAGTTCCATTAGAAGGTTTGGCCTAAACTTGCTTTACCGGTTGAGATTTAGGGTTGATCGTTGATTCCGCGCCAGCGGATGGTAGTGACTCGGTGTGAGGTGTAATAAGCCCAGTTGAGATAATATCTGATACTCTCTTTTTGTTTATTGTCATATTTAATTATATTATCTTTATATTTCCAAGCATAAAAATTGTGGATATTTTCTTTGTTTAAAGAAAATTGGTTTAATGGCATCAAGGCTTTTAAGATTTTGGATTTGTTAGTTTTATTTTTCTTTGAAGCAAGAGTTATTGTAATAAGACTACTTGTAAGTGAGCTTTTGTTGAAAAAAAAGAAATGAAAATGGGTAAAAAGAAGAAAAATAAAAAAATATATCCCCCGGCAAAATCACATTAGTCTTTCTTTCATAAATTTCTTTTATCATCATTATCATTGTCAAAGTTTTTTCCCCAACTAATTGAGATCGGCTACATAAATCTTGGACTGTCATTTTGCTTTATTGAGGGTCATACCCTCAAAGAGGTCATAAATCCCTATATTTTTTATATAATTTGGATTTTTTTGGAAATGATTGATGAATGTTGTTAGCTATAATTTATTTAAATTTTTTTTTTTGAATTTTTTTAAATCTCCCCATTTGTAGATCCGTTTGTTTAGATTCATTTTTTCCATATATTTTAAGCTTATTTGGACTTTTTAATGCTGCTTTTGGTTTTACTTTACTTTTATTACCTTCGTTATATTTTTTCATATTTTTATATTTTGTAAACGTTTTTAGCGCTTTTTGCCATACAAAAACTCGGGCAAGTCCAGACTGGCCTGAGTCACTCGCTTAGGACGAAGGTTACTCTAAACACTGCTTTTAAGTTAAAATTGCATGACTGTTTTGCAAATCACGAATCTTTAATCATACAAGGCCTTCGAAAATTAGGAAATTATTGCCTAGGCTTTAGTTTTCGGTGCATCCATATATCCTGTGCAGGTGCATCCATATATCCTCTTCTACTTTTTCATTAAATGACAAATATGTTGTTCTATTATTGCCCAAGCCTATTTTATTAAAGGAAAATGGTTTGATAGGGTTTATAAATGAAAAACATGTTTTTCTATTATTTCCCATGCCTATTTTATTAAAGGAAAATGGTTGGATGAGGCTGCAGCCCCACAAAATAAGTAAAGCCTCACCTCATAACTCATTATAAATTGCAATTCAAGCGTTGGAAAACCTTTAAATTGATCATCTGGGCTTCATTATGATTGTAAAAAAAAAAAAAAGGATTTCAAGCTTTAAAAATAGTGTATATTACAAGAAATTATCTAGACCGTCTATTTTGCCTTAAAAATAAGTATTCATAGATTCACAAGATCTATACCATTTTTTGAGTTTTAAATTTCATTGTCGATGTTGGAAATTGATTTTAGAATCATTATGAAGATTTTCGATACCGAAAGTGCTTTTCGAACGAGGATTTGAGGTGACATTTTATTTTGTTTTTATAAAGCCTAGGCCTTATAGAAACTTCATTCTTATTAAAAATGAAAATGTTTATATAAAATTTTAGTCTACCTAAAAAATTTCACTAGAAGAAGGTGTTTTGATGCCCAAATATCTTCAAATTGATCATCTCGACATCAAGAAGCATGGACATGAGAAAAAAATGGATTTCAAGTTTTGGAAATAGTGTATCTTTGTGACACATTTTTTTACCGTCAATTTTCAAGATTTTCAAGTTTTCATAGATCTGTTGATCTGCATTATTTTTAAATATTTAGACTTTATAAATAAATATATATATATATATTTTAAAGCTATCACAAAGATTTCCAATATTGAAACCACATTTCCCGATACTATTTGAAGGCAGCCTCTAATTTTGATTATTTAGAGCCTGGGCACAAAACAAACCGCACTCTTCTTAAAATCCCTAAATAATCCACGTGGTGTGTAAGGAACTCTCCGGTTGCCGTTGGATCTTTACCTCTTCGTATGATAAGTCTCAAGGGGGTGTATGTTATGGAGTAGTCTTTAGAAAGTGAAATTTTGTATTGATATAAAGAGAGTAATGCATGTTGAACTATTAGAAGGGTGAGGTTTGTATAAGGCGTGAATCTTAAATAATCACAGTAAGGTTACCCTAAAATCTCATTAAAAGATGTATTTTCTGTATCAAAACTCTTATCATAGCCTAAAATATTTTTCACCCCAATAATGAAATTGAAAGCTCCGAAAATAGTGCAAATCTAATAGATTTATGAACACTCGAGAATATTTAAAATAGATAGTTTAGATAATGCGTTATAAGATACTTTATTTTTCGGACTTCAAAATTACTTTTTCTTTCATATCTATATATATCGAGGTTAAGATGATCATTTCGCTAGTGACAAAATAACCTTTTTCGGTTGGTTTTTTAGGTGCACCTCATCTCTACGAGGTGGACACCTTATATAAACTTTCCCCGATTAAAAAGAACGAGACATTTTCTTCATTTGTGTTCATTACACCAAGGGGAAAGACAGGCCATGTGAAAATTATGCACTTCACACGCTTGCATTGGTACAAAAGTATCCTTCAACCTATATAAAAGCAGTTTCGAGACTCCATTTATTGATGAATGGTTGTTAAATCAGTCAAGAGGTGTGGATAAATGGTTGTTAAATCAGTCAACAAGATGTGTGGCACTTAAAAAAACCTGAAACAATCCCAAATTTGAAAGGTCCCCATGTGTAAATAAAACTTGAATCTATCATTTTCGACACCCCCATCTTAAACTTTCTTTTAAACCCGTCTTATGCCTGAATAAAGGACTTCGGTTGTGGTAGATAGGAAACCAAACCAACGTAAAATTTTACCAAAACTGATTATGAATCATGAACCAAGAGTATTTGCTTCCTCACTAAGGGTATGGCCCTTAATAGAGTAAAAGAGCATACCAAAATTCGTATTCCTAAC